TTCGGACAGAAACACGGCCAGGCTGCAACCCGGCCTCTTCTCCCGGCAAGTATACGTCTCGGCCCCTTAGTAAGCCTGTCCACTCTGCCAAAGCAGATCCCCCAACCAAGTCGCCTTCGCCACTCCCACTGCCCACCCCGGCCCCCGGGCCCACTTTCGTCTCTCCAAGCAGGCCTCTCACTGGGCTCCTGGCTTCTGTTCTTGACCCTACAATTCAAGTGTCTACTCAACAGCTCATGACCTTCCAGACGCACCAGTGAGAGGATGTCATTCCAGTGCGTGTCACCCGCCAGCACTTCCCTCCGCATTCGGAATGAGCCGCACACGCCTCGCCTTGTCTGTGAGGCCCTGCTGGATGTCCGGTGCCCGCGCCCAGCTCCTCTCATCCCTGGCTCACTTCTCTTTACTCAAACCCGCAGCCACTCGGGTTTCTTTGCTTCAGCGAGCACCCCAAGCTCACTCCCACCCCAGTGCCTTTGCACCTGCTGCTCTCGGCCTGACTGCCCTTACTGGCCACCCTCACTCTGTCCAGCCCATCCCCACTCTGCAGCCAGGAGCCTCTTCCTAGAGCCCAGATCTGACCAGAACCCCCCCGCTGCAACCCTGCCCACAAGGACTCTCCATCAGGCCCCAGTGAACCGCATCAGCTTCAGCCCCTCTTGGGGTGACAGCTACACTCAGCTTCTTCCAGTTGTTTGAGGCTGCCATGCTCTCTCACCTCTGAGCCCTGGCGTACAAGGTCATGTGCCCCTCACCTCTCTCAGGGGCTCCTGCTTATCCTTAAAGGTCCAATTCCAGCACCATCTCCTCAGGGCACGCTGCACCCCTCTCTGAGTTGCCCCGCCACATGGCCTCTGCCACAGGCTAGGCGCCCTGGGGTGGCAGGGGTGGGGGCTAGCTTGTCAGCCTCCGGGGATCTAGGACAGTGCTGGGCCCCCAGACAGCAGGATGTGAATGCCCAGTGGGTGCCCGGGCCCCCTGCGGCCCTCACCTTGCATGTAGATGACCAGCAGGGTGTAGCAGATGGTGAGCGGCGTCCAGAAGCGCACAGCTTCCGAGGTGGTCATGAAGTCTCGGTTGATGAGGGCCACGGCCGCCAGGTCACCCACAGCAAAAGCCACGACCAGGGCACGGCCCAGCAGGCAGGGCAGGTCACACGCCCCGGCCAGCAGACCCAGGCAGACCCCACAGTAGTGCTGGCTGCTGTGCAGCTCATAGAGGCGGCAGACGTGGCGGAGGAGGCGCTGGGCCAGCGAGCTCAGCAGCGCGGCCAGCCCGAGGCCCAGCAGCAGGTTGAGCGTGCGGTGAGAGGCGCCCTCCTGCAGGAAGCTCAGGCCGCAGCTCAGCCCACAGCCCAGCGAGTACTGGCCCAGCAGGTACAGCTGCAGCCTCTCGGTGCTCCCGGAGCCCTGGCGGGGAGGTGGCAGAAGAGGGGCCGCGATGGTGGTCCCCTCACCACCGGGACACCGAGGGCTGGCAGGGTACAAACGCTTCAGTCTACAGGAGGCTGGGCCCCAAAGGAACCCCTCGGATCGTTCCCCAAGAGGGAATCCTGCCTCCCATCAAGCCCTAATGGGGTCATTTCTTCCCTCTTAATTTCCATCCTGGTTGTTACTGGCACCCATGTTCTTGCTGAAGCACCGGTGGTGGCTCGGAGCCTTGGAGGCCTGGGTTTAAAGCCTGACTTCACTTCCTGTGGGTTACCCTCTCTGAGCCTCAGTTTCCCCCTGTGCTTGTGAGGGTCATGGGATGATGCACTCCAACGATCTAGCCTGCGGGGCCAGCAGTGCGCACCCACCACCGCCCGGCCTCACCTTGCCCAGGGACAGCAGCGTGGAGACAGCCCTGAGGGAGAACTCCAGCACCACCAGGCAGGCCACCCGGGGCCCCACGAGGGTCAGGATCAGGGCCAGCCCGGGCAGGTGCACGGACTCCAGCAAGGCCCACCGGGCCTGCAGCCGCTCCTTTTCCAGCCGCCATTCCGGGTTGCTGTGGGGGCAGAGGGGGGTGTAGGCAGAGTGGCAGAACCAGCAGCCTGGCCCTGTAGGGGGCTCCCGGGGCCCCGGCCACACTCCTGTGCCGGACCGGACGGGTGGTCTTCTTGCCCTCCAGTCCTCCCTTCAGAGACCAGAGTCACAGCTG